CACCTGCCCTGTGGCTGCATCATTAATTGCAGGAGGAATCCGTATGCAGCGTCTTCAGAGGAGCTCCAAAGTAAGTATGGAAGGGTGGCACACAGCTGGAATGTTCCTTGTACTAAAGAGGGTAGGAGGCTCTGTCGGTAACAGTACTTTGTGCTCCTTGAAATCATCTACCTGAATTACCTAGGCGTTATTAGGCGTTATTTGGAATGATAAATGAGGCTCACAGCATTCGTGCAAGACAGCTGGATGGAGGTGGTGGATCCTGAGGCACAGAAGCTTGATTTTCCCAGGTCACTGTCAGATCTTTTAGCAGAGTCTGATGGACTCTAAATCCTACTTTCGCTCTCCTACCTCCGGCAAGATCTATCTACCAAAATCTGGCTTTTACTAATCAAGTACACAGAACATGCTAAACATGTTTGATGTCATGGGGGAGAAAAACATGTGAATTGCGGGCTGTTGTTTGTACACCTGCGCTGTAGCTACTAACCAGAAATCACAGCGACACCAGTAAGTGGAGAGTGAAGGAGGAGATTTATGGGAGGGGCCTGTATCTCAGTGTGTTCATGCCGCTTGTTGAAAGCTGAGCAACTCCTACACATTTTCTGCCTAAAAATGTTTCCCTGCATGTTTATAAAGTTCACCTTGGTATAACAGAGGATGCCAGACCTTCCCTGGTAACGTTCTTGGAGTCTTGTAAAGCCCTGTTCCTCTCTGGGCCTCCATGCGAACCAGCTGGAGGGATCCCTGCACACGCTGACCGCCACAGCCCAGCTCCTGCAGTTACACGACTTCTGTTCTTTTCATGAAGAACTTGATCAGGTGGTGATACTCGCTCAGAGCAGCAGAAGTCAGAGAGATGCAGCTGTCACCCATGAGCTTCTCTGTGGTGAAAAACACACGTAGGCTTCTGCGAACACGAATAACTTTGTGGCTAAAAGACTGTGGGATGCTCTCCTCTAGGTTTCCTGGCCACAGTTACTTATGGAATACCTCAGTCCCCAGTGTTCATGTAGCTGCACAGAGGGATTGCATTTTGAATTAAAAATGAAAGTGCATTTCCAGTAGTCTTCTGGGAGAAGTATTTGTTATTATTAGTGAAGTTTATTATAGCTGCTTATAAGTTCAGTGTCTTTATTAGTGATTAATTTACATTAATTACACACAAATGCATGCATATATGTTCATCCATGTTTGCTTTCTGGGGCATCCGAAAATGTACAAACTTTAAAAAATTCAGCGGTTCAACAGTAGGTAATTATGGAAAGTCTGAAGGATAGAAATCTGCTACAGGATATTAAATACATCTGTATCTGTTAGAGCTCTGTTAACGTATAGTAAATATGTTCTGGTAGAAATATCAGTAAGGAAGCCTACAAGGAAGGAGATAGAGCAATATTACATTCATAATTATTACCAGGAATAAATTAACAGAAAAATAATTTCAATTTCCTATTTATAATGCTGCGATTGTATTCATATATAAAAAACATAGATCTATGCCTTAATCTTTTAGAAGTGAGAGTTGCAGTGCTGGAGGTTGATACAGATGTCCCTTGAGGCCTGGGCAAAGGGGAATTCAAAGTGCTGGCAAGTTTTATTTAGAAAGTCAGAATTAGGGTAGGGTAGGGTGGGATAGGGTAGTTCCGTTGGAAGGGACTGGAAGTCGAACTGCACAAGTCAAGAGCAGAACACTCCTGAGGATCTGGATGTTGTTCCCATTCTCTGGAGTGAAAGTCCTCTGACATCAGTGGATGAATTCCTGACATTTGCTGCATGTTCAAGGAGAAAGCAAGCCCTGAATCCTCGAGAAAAGCCCTTCTCGGTCATGGCTTTCACTTGCTTTGAACACATTCTCCGGGTGCAGGATGGCTTGTGCTGCGACTGGTGCTGTTTTAACCACTTTTCTTGGAGGATGACTGCAGCCTCTCAAGGAGGCAGTGCATTTCAGATGTATTTAATAATGTGATTTAGAGAGAAAAGAGAAGCAGTTATAAAATTATTTAAAATAAATCTGTGACTTTTAGATGTTTGTACTACAAAGCCTATTCTCTAGTTTCAATGCAATGACTGCTAAGGTCAGAATGGCACCCACAATTAAATATGATCTAGTAAGCACATGGACTGTTAAGAGAAGCAGAGGTTGTACAAATGTATCCCCACACCTTTTATTTTATAATTTGGCATGAAAGGTTTGGTGAGAAGATGATTAATCAGTTACGTAAAAGGCACTTCTTCAGTTGCTACATAATGTAAGGTGAAAAGGGAGAGGATGAAGAATCTCAGGTGATTTGTGTTAGACAGGAGAAAGAATGAAAGGGTGTAAAGAATGACTGAGAATATTTAATTGTTCAGTTACTGTGTAAGGTTAGTGGGAGTTAGTTTAGAATGGAGGTTATACAAACCATTTCATTGTGTAAATACTTCAAATATTTATTTTTTTATTGTAGAATTCTGTTTTGCTTGCTTGATTAATGATATTCATAGAATCATCGAATCATTTTGGCTGGAAAAGACCTTTAAGACCATCAAGTCCAACCATTAACCTGACACTGCCAAGCCCACCACTAACCCATGGCCCTAAGCACCACACCTACACGTCTTTTGAGCGCCTCCAGGGACGGTGACTCCACCACCTCCCTGGGAGCGGCTGAGGGAACTGGGATTGTTCAGCCTAGTGAAGAGGAGGCTGAGAGGAGACCTGATCGCTCTGCAGCTGCCTGAAAGGAGGGTGTAGTGAGGTGGGGTCAGTCTCTTCTCCCACGTAACTAATGACAGGACAAGAGGTAATGGCCTCAAGCTGCGCCAGGGGAGATTTAGGTTGGATATTAGGAAAAATTTCTTTACTGAAAGAGTGGATATTGAAGATTGTTATAGATTCTTAGAAATATTTTATCATTTTATACGATTTTTCACCTTTAAGAATATAGCTGAAACAGGCTCTGAGAAAGAGCATATTGCAACATTTGAGTATTTTCTTCTTGTGTGTAACCTCTAAAACATCATGTATTGTGTGTGTTTGAAAGTGGCAGATACTCTACCAGTTTCTGGGAATCCATTCGCTTTGGAATGTACAACTTCTGAACTCATTAAGAAGGCAATATAACAGTGTACTAGCTGAGAAGTCTTTCTTCTCAACAGTTCATTTTTATAGATAGAAAATTGTACGTTTCTGGCACTTTGGAATGTACAACTTCTGAACTCGTTAAGAGTTCAGTATACAGTATAACAGTGTACTAGCTGGGAAGTCTTTCTTCTCAACAGTTCATTTTTTATAGATAGAAAATTGTACGTTTCTGGCAGTAGTTAAACAATTTATTCTGTGTTTTAAAATGTCATTTTCATTGTGTATTCAATCTCATTTTTCTTCTTGGTTTTGACTCTTTTAATGTGACATTTCTTCCCTTTCTGCTTAGCCAAACGTAGGGGTTTTGAATTCAACCTGTCATTCCAGCAAGGTTATGGAATCTACAAAATATCCCATGAAAACCACCACCACCACCGCCACCGTGATGGTAAATCTACGTCCTATCACAACCTGGTGAGCTATGGCTGCGATAACTGGCAAGAAGCTCGGCGAGGAAGCGATGATCCCCCCGGCCCCAGGACGGCGGCGTTCAGCTCCACGGCCCCGGCAGACAGCTCCCGGGGCGCCCTGGGGGGGCCCGCAGCCAGGCCAGACCCCAGCCAGCAGAAGAGCACTGACCGCCTCCTTCCTGACAACGCGGGGACCTGTAAAAGAGAAGAGGTCGGAAATTTTGATACGTCAGCGTTTTCTGAAGGACCAGAAAGGAGGTTGTCTCATGAGGAAAGCCATAAACCTGAACTCACAGATTGGGAATGGTGCAGGAGTAAATCAGAGAGGACCCCTCGGCAGGTAAAGTATGAAATTGCCTTTATTTTTTTCTGATAATAAGAATTAACTTACAAAAAAATAAGGCTAATATTTACTTACATTGAAATTACCGTTAGTCCTGTTGGTAGTGTAGTTCCTTTTAGTAAAAATCATACTTAACATTGTGTATTTTAGTAACCACACACCTATGTGCAGATTCTGATCCTGCAGCAATTTCTCACTTCTGTTCTAATCATGGGGCTTTAATTATTTATTACTGTTTTGTGTGCACCTGCGTGATCTGTATATGGTAAGAATTCAGTATGAATGATGTTAATTCACCTTAATGAATAGGAATTGTCACTCCAAAACATTACATTTTCAAGAGTGTTTCCAAGCATGTGGTGACTTCTCATGCTTACATTTTGGATAGGGAAAACAAGAGAATTGCAAAACCAACCATGAATGGTAACTCCACCGAGAAATGCAGATTTCAGTCTGGGCACAAAGTTTCCTATTAGATCCAAAGAAAAAAAATTCCAAATATTATATTGTTCATCCCTTTCTTTTAGATTGTGGGCAGTTACTGGGAAGAAGAAATTCTGAGAAATTTCTTAGTTTTCAGGAGCTCTGAGAGGAAGGTGAAGGTGGAGTCATAATACATTTGCACTTCAGTTGAAAGACTCGTTAAAGGTGTCTGTGCCCTGGGGCTGTGTAGTTCTTCGTGCTTTGCACAGAGGTTCTGACTCTGTGCTCTCACGTTTGCTGTGCGCTGTATAGAATCCAGCAGAGCTTTCACAGCTTGGGAGGAGGGGAATATAAAACCCCATGGACTTCAAGGACACACCGTCTAAAATTAAGAGAGCGCGCTCCCATCTTGCTCTGTAACTCTTTCACCTGAAGGGGGGTCCTGTTGACTGTACCACCATTGCCACGAAAGTTGGGGTTTGCTTTCAGTTCCGAGATTGCAGGACTAGGGTCTGTTCCAAGAGCAGAGTCCTCATTTTCCTGCTCCGTGCCGTGCCGATAGTGGCCCATCAAGAACAGCAGGGTCACCGATTTCCTCAGCTTGGAGGCTTTGTGGTTCTGCCGTGGCAAACCTCGTTCAGTCCCGTACTGGGAGGGTCTGCGCTGACTTCTGACTAGAGCTGGGCTCAACGGTGAAGAGCTGTGAAAGAGAATTGCCCCAAACTGCCATTTGTAGAATGTCAGACTGAAACGGGATCCAGCAAAAGGACAGCTATTATCTCCTGTAAGAGCATGGGCTTAAAGGAGAGCTGCCAAGCTGTACTTTTATTTTCTGTAATCAGGGTTTGTTTAAGGAGCGAAATGTCAGAACAACTACTGCAGGTTGAATGCTTTTAATGAAAGAAGGGAAAGATTGTTAGCCATTCCTTGGCAACTGTCTGTGAAGCAGGCAACGGGTAGGAGGATTTTCTGTCCCCTAAAAATCCATGACTATGAACCAAAGGGCGAACACTGGCAGGGGCCACCAGGGGAGCCTGCAGTGTGATATTTGTAGTGGAACTTGAAATGAGCAGCAGCTGCTTTTCCCTGGGGAACTCACAGGCTGGACTCTACAAAGCGGCTCAGAGTGGCCTAAGGAGCGAAAAGGCGTAATCCTGCATCGTGCGGTTCTCTGCTCCTGCCGCGGGCGCCTCGCCCGCCCTCTGGCATCCGTGCTGCAGTACACAGCTCTGGTCTGCGCGAACACTCTTCTGGCAGCATAGGTACATACCCGTTGTCAAGATAAACCAGGGCAGCTCTGTGTACATTGAGTATGGTTTTCATGTTTTAGATGTGATGGTCACAGGTTCGTATTGCTGCTGTAAATTGGCTGTGAGACAATCTCAAAGGTCAGTTCTGCCTGCTCACCTTTGGAAGTCTTCCTTGGTGGAATCCAAAAGGAGCCGGTGTTGGCTTTCGATTTTTCATGCGTGAGCAACCAGGAAACACATGCAAAAGGTCTTAACCAAAGAACTTTGAAGTATTTTTAAAAATGTTTTATTGCTATTTGAGTAATAAATAGTAAGACTGTTTGAGGTTGAGTTTTCATTTTGTTTGATTGAATTTCAAGAGCGTTTGTAATATGGGTCAAAATTACTGCTTTTCTTCTGCTATATTTGCACAGTGAGTAGTTCATGTTGACCATAGGAAAAGCGTATCTCCAGTTTTTCTCTAGGATTGTGACATTGTAAGAAAACAAGTGTGTGTCCCTCTCTTCTGCGGAATGAAGAAAAACTTAATTGAAAACTTAAATGCTCAGGAGGATGATTTTATATTTGAGGAAAGCCGTTCCCTGGGTTGTGTGGAAGCAGTTATTCTCCCACTGTCCTTCAGTGGTCACACAAACAGTTGTCTGTTAAAGAGGTTCAGATATTTCCACTGAAATAAGCAGAAGTCTCTGTGAATCTGAGAAACACAGTTCCAGATGAGGTAGTTGCGTGTTTATGCCCTGTTCAAGGACCATGGAAGATGGTCAATAATTATCCTGGAAGGTTTAGCTTTTCCCAAGCTTTCCTGCCAGTGTTTGGAAAGGGAAACTTGCACTAAGGAAGTTGAATTTTAAGGTCCGAATGGGAGGGAATGACTTGACTTTGCCTGGGTTAAGCCTGTCCTCTGGAGCGCGTGGTGACTGGGCTAGGTGGGACCGTCATGCTTTTGGAGCGTTTCCTGCAGAACCACGGCTTCTGATCACCTTTCCAACATGTCCCTTCAGCGAGCTCCACAGCCTCTCCTTGTTGGTGGCTGCTGATACCCAGAACCCCGTCCTTCCTCCCGCCGCCCCCCCGAGGTGAGGCAGGGGGCAGGAGTTTGGGGCACGGTGACGTCAGAAGCCACAACCAGTCTGCCTGGCGGAGTGTTAACTGAACTGAGGGGTTGAGCGTGCGCTGTGGAAATGGGTAGATGTTCGGCATTGCAGTCGGTAGAAGGGGGGTAGGAGCCCGTGTGAAGTCCTCGAGACAGGCGCTGCAGCAGGCTTGAGGTTGGAAGGGACTTCTGGAAGCCACCTAATCCAACCTCCTGCTCCAAGCAGGGCTGACTTCGAGCTAGATCAACTTGCTCTCACCCTTTGGCACGTATATAGATAAGATGTGTAAAATGTATTTTTTATCTAAATAAGGGAGTCCCTTCTCCCTCTGATAAACACAAGTTTATCATTAGAGTCAAAGTAGCAATTTGTTTGCTATTTCAAATTTGACTGATCATCCCTCTCCTGAAAAAGCAAGCGTTCACTCTGTTGCAGTGTGCAGTGATGAACTGCTGTGTTTGTGGGCGAAAGTAAATGATGACTCAACGTGCTTTTAATCTGCTAGTTCTTGCTAACCCCTTGTGTGCCATGTATAGTTTCGTTAATAAAGCCAGTATATCACTAGGTTCATCTTTAACTGTGGCTCTCCTTGCAGCAGTTTCCAGATGGTGTTTAAAAAAAATAAAAAGTAAAAAAAAAAATTCCTTTTCCCATCTCCTGGGGCTGCCATTTCAAATTGCTGGACCTCTGACTTCCATTACAGCAGGTATGAGCAGCTCTTTGGGAAGCAGCTGGCAACAGCTGCGTGTGGATGGCTTTATTTGCCCTGGGACTTCGTATGTCACTTTTGGACATACTTCTTTGCTACCTGCATTACAGGGAAACCCAATTCATCCTTTTCTGACATTTTCCAAATCATAACCCACTGTGCAGTTGCCAGGTGTTAAGGCTCCTGTGGTCTAAAAGTTCAAGGCTTCTGAGTTACAGATCTCACTGTTTCTGACATTCAGCGTGAGTTTCCAGAGCTTCACAGCGCTGACATTTGCTTTGCTGCCGAAAAAGGGCAGAATATGAAACTTAATGCATTTCTCAGATGTATGTTGGATGAAAGATCAATTTGGGACAAACATTAAATAAGTTGAAAGCCATCCCTTTTATTTATCCTGTCTGGAAGTCCCTGAGTATCTAAGAAAAGTCACTTTCTCCTAGCATGCTCCATTTCTTACCTTTGTTAAAAAAGGAGTCTTT